TCCTTTGTCACTATTTATAAAGTCGGTAAGTGTATGATGCCTAGTGTTTTAAAAATCTGTTCAGATTTTTAAAAGTCATGTAGTGTATTCCAGGGAAACGTCATGCATCTCAGGTAGAACAAGCAGAGTATATAGCTTTATCAGCACAACTGAACTAATTGTTGATTTAAAGTAACTGGATGCACAGTTTTGAATGTAAACATTAAGTTGTCAGAAGAGTAAGTTCAGAGTGTTTTGATGGATCGTGTGTGTTGATGAACATTCCATACAGTATGTAGGTACCGTATAGCAGGTAAGACAATAAATCCAGTGCAGTTAATCAAAGAGGAAACTACATTCAGGATTAGAAATCAAATGCAGAATTTATGAAAAACCCATTAATCAAAATTTCATTAACAATAAACTATACCAGTTTGGACAAACTGAGAAGATATGTACAGTATTCCTCAATTTAATGCCAAAGAAGTACAGGTCAAATGGATTTTTAAAAACATTTTTTTTTTAAACAGATACATTTTTAACCAAGGTAACACATGATCTTTCTTACAGGACCTAGATGTCAGAAGTGAAAAGGAGATTAGACCAGTCTACTGCATCATCATCAAACCCTGTGGGGAAAAAGAAGAAGAAGAAGAAGAAGAAAAACATAAGAATGATACACTGCTCCAAAATATCCAATAAGCAAATCATAACTCCTGTACAAAACAGTTTGCTTATTTGTTGATTGTTCAGAAAAGGTATAAAATATAATTTATCTGTCTCTTGTTAAAAGACTCAAAATGCCTTACTCCATGCGAACAACCACTTCAATTAAAAGTCGCCCCACTGGGTACGACTGGATTTTATAACTAATAGTCCAAATAAAATTAAAGTTGGACTTTGGAAATCTTTCATGAACCTCGGTTCTCTATGTTCTGCGTTTCCTATGGTTACCCCATCCTAATCCCACTATCTCCCGAGGAGCTGGAGAATTAGTCCTGGGCTAAGCAGTGTTTTTTTCTCAATGTTGAATAATCCCGAACCGAGCTACTCAAATTGAAAATCCTTTTGATGTCTAGTCAAACAAATATTCCTCGTGGGTATAGTGATCTATCTACAACATGCAGTAAAGTTAAGGTCCCCTGTGTGCCTCAACTTAGACCCTGGGACTGTGTGATCGATTATCTCTATGGTGTGACTCCCCAGAGAATGGATCTAGCCAAATGTCTATCCCTGAGTCACTGACTGTGGAGGATTACATTAAGAAGACATTAGAATAAGGCCTGGTTTTTATTGACCACCACAGTTTTAACAAAGCAGCTGCAAAAACGGCTGCCTTCTATTACATCTTGCTGTCTTGGAGTAAATAAAAAGAGGGAAATTATTGACTGATCTCTTCTTTTTTTAGTGCCTACAACCAGCGGCCATTATGAATTCTCAGTGATGCTGTATGGACTGATGAATGTTCCTGTCCTGCTTCTAGATAATGATTTATGCTTCAGTCATTATCTTTACAATGCAATGCTTACTTTACTAACATATTAGATAATTTAATCATTTCAGGCAGGTCACATTACTACGCCTGTAATAATGTAACCAATTATTTTATGACCATATGATATTAGTGCATATTTTATTTAAATGTCTCTTACAAAAAAATAAATAAAATCTCACTGCTCTCACTTTCTTCTTTTCAACGGTCACATCTGGCTTGTTAACTAGGGGAATTTGTAAGACACTATTTTCTTTAAAGCTGTTTTGAAACAATAGGTATGTGGAAAGTGCTATACAAATAAAACTTATTTGACTTGACTACATCTGGATGACATTTGGGTACACTACGCCTCTCTGAAAAGGAAAATATTGTGTCAGAACTATGAATGGAATTGCTGAAGAAGTTTTATTAATTCAGTGCCTTTCACAAGCTCAAGGTCATTGTACAGAAAAAGCCATTTGAGTCATTACAACAAAAAGAACATAAAAAAAAGAACAAGAGCACTACTTTTGGTAAACAACAACAAAACAACCTCATGTAGGACAAACTTTATTGATTTCACTTTCAATTCAAAATACTAAAACCTAAAATGTGTACACCTTATAGTATTTTAAAAGTATTTTGATTTGAAAGTGTAATGAAAGAGATATCTGCTGGGAACCCTAAGCTTTTTAAATGTGTGATCTACTTTAGTAGGTTAACATGAAATTTTAATTCTATGGCTTCTTACCTCATATATTTGCTAAAGTAGTCTCACTGCAACTGAAACTGAAGCAGCTAGTTGAACTTTCACAAATTTTCAAAAACCCTTTTCCATTGTAGTTGATGCAAGACATCCGCCTTGCATTTCAGTGCCTTAGACATTTCCCATGAACTAATACACCAGATTTTGGAAACATAAAGCAGTATTAATAATTTCAGTTGCAAAATGCATCAGACAGTCATTAAACAGTTCATGTCATCTAAAATGTCCCATTAGGAGTAAAGGCAGGCTGATCGTGACTTGCATGAAGGTGAACCACAAGGCATCAAGATTACATTAAGACATTAGAATAAGGTTTACATTGCATTAGTTACTTTAAAATACTGTCGAATTCCATTAGATCCTACTGCATTTGAATGAATACGAATGGGTAAAACTTACACCCAACCTGCCCTTCACCTAGTGCCTACAACCTGTTTCAGTTTTTGAACCTAGAGATGAGGGAATCCATCAGCCATATATTGTACAGATTGACACACACATAGAAACCTAGAGTTCATCCACTCACCCAGAGGCTAAACACATGGCAGGCCTATTGGATTTTCTCTTCTTCTCCGTGTTGTGCTTTGCTTTAAGATTCAGACAGGTTTGATAATAAGTTAACTTTATTTTATGCAGGACAGTATAGATCAAAAAAAAAAAAAAAATACTCTGTCAGTGAATTTTCTCACCTGGCTCGTTTGGAGCATTTGTTTCAGAACCTGGCACATTTTCTCTCTTATTTCAGTCTGTTTAGGCATATATGAAAATGGCAATCATGCCTTGATCTGCACCAAAATAATCAGTCATAGATCACCTGAATGAGGTTGTCTCAACCTGATTGAAAGCAAACTCTGGAGTGGTTTGGTTGTGATGATACAGCAATCTGACCCAACGGACCAACTAATCAAGCTGTATCATTATTCATAATGGGAGATGTGTTTGTGTAAAAGCAGCAGTGTCTGATTCTGTCAAGAGTGTCTGTCTGCGGACTGCAAGAGAGGGGCGTAACTGGAATGTATTTATTGTGATGCTTACTTTTATTCATTCCTTTACTCATTTATTCATGTTTATTGTTGTCAGTAAATAAAATATAAATATTTTATTACCGGTAATTCATGTATTAATTGCTTGACTGAAAATTGATGTATTCACATCGATTGCATTTGTTCAATATTTATGTATAGCTCAATATTTATGTATAGCTATGTCACGACAAAAAAAAAATATTTTTTCATTTTAAGTAAAAAAAAAAAAAGTAATATAATTATTGGTTAGCATTTATCATTATTATTGCATGTAAGTGTTGGGGTGGGCAAACGATGCAATTCATTCTGGGGTAATCTTAATGTTTAAGTAGTAATACTTACATTTTTAGAGTATAAAATCAACAGTCTTCTCCAAAGGCGAGATCTTCGAGCAGCTGCCCGACATATCCTTTGTGCAGATATTGCAAACGCTGAGGAAAACCATACTAGATTGTTGAGTTAGTGATGCTATGAGGTGTTAGTGCACCTGTCCCTCTTTTTTATTATTATTATTGCCGAACTTATAATTACATAAAAGATCAGGGAAAGATGGTTGTATCTAACAATGAACAATCATAATGGCATATATTACATCCCTACTGTGTTATTCCTATGTATGTCTGCACTATCATGTATGT